CCCCCCCCCCCCCCCAAAACAACACTGGGGGGACAGCTGCTTCAGATGCATTCCTGGGTGCCAGCTCAGGTGCCCACAAGACTATGAGGATACCCTTTGGGTGCAGGGTTAGCTGTTCCCCAGCTCATCAAAGCACAGCTGAGAGGAACTAATTGCAAACACGGATGCCCCCCAAGCACATAAAGCACTGATCTGGACAAGGCAGAGGGCAGGGAGACCCCTCAAAGGTACAGGGAGCTGTGCATGCCTGAAAGGGGGCCTCCTCTTCTGCCTGGCATACCTTCCCAGAATGCCTTGCAACAGCCTAAAAATGCTTCCCAGAATCCCTCTGTTCTGAACCAAACCAGGACCGGAGGCACATTTGCCTTGCAGCCAGCCTTAAAAGGGCAGAGCTTGGGACAAGCGCGCGCCAGCGTCTCTTCAAAGCAACAGAGCAATCCGTGATGGATACGAACGTACTCTCTACAAGTTAACATAAACCGAGATTAGCCTTGACATTTCTAGGTCTTGCAGTCGGGTTCAGTGACAAAAGCCAGCTCTGGATCTGGAGTCTTTCCTGAAGCTATTTATTTATTTTAAGAAAAGATTGAGTTAGTCAAGGTGGACGGCAGCCTGTAGGCAAAGAACAGCGTTTAAGTGGGATCCTTAAAATCAGCGGATCCTACATGGGGTCAGAAAAATTTCCTTCAAATAAACTTTCTGTTAAAATAAGAGGGCTGGGGTGGGGATTGGAAAAGTCTCCCACTCAGTCAGTGATTTAAATGCAGCAGTGACCATCGTGCTCTTGAAATGCCAAAGCTGAGTTTCCTGATGAAAGATCATGGAGAAATGGTTAGTAATCCTAAAGGATGGGTGATGTGAGTGGTTTCTTCTCATGGATTTTGCTTTGACTGTCAGCCTGCCTCACTTTGTAACTCTGTAGGTGCCTGACAAATCCCTGTTCTGACTGTTACAGAGGCACCCTCTTTTCCTGAATCAAAACTCATGGCAGAGGTGATATCTTTTATTAGACCAACTAGATATTTGCAATAAATAAATAAAAGCAAATCTTTATTTTCAACCTTCCAGGCAAATAAAGAACTCTGGCAAATAAATATTTTTTTTGTGCAAATATCTAGTTGGTCTAATAAAAGATACCACCTCTGCCACAAGTTTTGATTCTTTTTCCCTCTAGACCAATAGGGCTACAACCAGGACACCCGTTTACTGAGGAACCCCAAGTATTCTTTTACCTGTCCCATTCTACTTTGGATATCCCCCAAAAGACGGAGACACCTTCCTTCTTTCACAGGAGAGTCCTCAGGCTCTCTGCAAACACCTCATTATAAACAATGACCAAAATCACTGACTATCCTGAATAAGGATCACTCAGACACAGGACTAAGCAACAACAGTTTAAAATCAGTTGGAAACAAGGGGAGGATTTTTGCATGAAAATACACTGGTTGTTTGCCAGGGCAGCCAGGTTAACATAGTGGCTATTGAAAAAAAGTGCCGTGTGAATGGGAATTTCACCCAAATAGCTGCTGTTTTTCTGGGGGGGGGGTTGCCTTGGGGTAATTTATACAAATGAGCCTATTCCAAATCAAAAGCACATTGGAGACACCTTGTAGTAAAATTAAGTCCATTGTACTTTTATCTCAGGATGGCTCTCACACAGTTATCCCATAGTCAAAACAGCTTTTTAGCTGTGAAGACAATCCTGGGGAGTGAGGAAGGCTTCAGTTTTATATTCAGTTGTATCATAGCATTCCCAGCATAGCTGCGCTACGTACGGTAGCACTGACAAAGCTTGGTTTTATGGCTTACTTCAAAGAAACATTGCCATCTAGTGATTGACTAAATGTGGTTCATCTAGTACAAGGGTGATTCTTGGAGATGACCCATCCAAACAGTGACCAGATGAGACCCAGGTTTGGGGGAGATTTCATGAGACCATAGATAAGAGGTGGTCAAACTTCCTTCTAGCTACAGACAAAAATCTTGACATGACCAAGGGCTACAGGAGACAATACTTTCAATCAATATGTATTTCAGAGTCCTGATCCACACACAGATCTCCAGTTTGAAAAATAATTTGTTGTTAAACGCCTTTATTCAGGAGCTGCATTGTAACTTCCTGGTCTCTGCGTGTGGTCTCTAGCCACCCTTTGCCCACCCCTGTCAGATGGTTAACTAATAGCCCTGAATTGTTTGGTGAAATGGAAGAGCTCATCAGATTAACAGTCTGCAGATTTAAGTACATTTAAGGAAATGGGACCAGTTATTCCCTGTCTGTCCCTTGGCTGCAGGTTCAGTCTATCTGCCTTTCACCGCTTTGTTTAATATTTCATTAAATAGTAGGCAATGAACCATCTGTTTGGCAAGTTGCTATATTATTGCCAGTTCATGAGTGGAGTTAAGAGATTACTTACAAATTAGCACCATCTCCTAAAAGGATTGTCAAAAGTCCTTAGAAATCAGGTTTGCCAAGAGCTGGCCTGGCACCATAGAGCTGTCTATTTAAAAAAAAAAAAATCACATTTCCAGTGTGGCCAGAACACCTGACTGCATCCCTTGCTTTCAACATGAGGGGAATAAATTCACAGTGAAAAAAAAATCCTCCTCTCACTTGATGGGCAGATGTACAGTTGATTATCTCAGGAGTGTGATCAAGTCCTTTTTTTAGGGGATTTATCATAGCAGCTACATGAAGGCCCTAATCCTATAAATCTTACTTCTTTTAGGGCTTGATTCTCCACTGCCTTGCTGCTGCAAAGTTATCTATGCTGGTGTGATGTCCGTGTAAGGTATAACCGTCTGCAGTGACTGAAAATTGTGATTTGGGCACATTCTGCGCCTGCTATACAGCAGCATCAGTGACTGTAGGACAGACTGGATCGTGACCATCGTGACCACCAAAGACAATCAGGATCTTTGGTGGTTCCCTTCTCTGTAAAATGAGGAGGGTGATGCAGTGGCCAGGCAGGACGTGGCGAGAGCTCGCAATGGTTCTGACCAGACAAACGCGGCCAGGCAGGAGCGTGCAACGAGAACCACAGCTTTGGCATGGGTGCGAAGGGGGCGAATCCATCCCCCCGCTGTGAAGAACGCAGTCCTATGAGTCCTGGTGTGTTGCAAAGGGAGTTTGCACCCGCAAGCTTGCCAAGAAAAATGTTTCCAACTATTCAAGCTGGTCTAATAAAAGCCATCGGATTCACCCAAAGAACCTCGTCCGCCCAGGTCCTTAGACTGACATGGCTACAACCACCACCCTTGAAACTGTGCATCGAAGGAAAGCGACATGCAGCAGCCCAGGGTGCATGACGCTGCGTGCGCACATGTGTGAGCCAGCGTGCTCCGTCTGGCAGGGTGGGGCCGGTGCCCTGGTGATCACTCCCTCTCCTGTTGTTCCCCAGGTCAGTGCAGGGGACCCTGAGAGCCCAGCACGGACAAGGGGGGGCCCTGCCTGCAGCCTTGCCTCCCTAGAGGGCGGCCCTGGGGTGTTTGCCAAGGGAGCCCTGCAGCATGGAACCCGCGGCGCATTAGGACCCAGTGAGAAGGGGCCCCTCCCCCAGTACCCGACGGGCACTAGGACCGCGCGGAACGCCGCGCGGCGGAGCGGAAGTTCTGCCCGCGCCGATGGAGGCCGAGCCGCCGCCGCGCGCCAGCCGCCTGCTCAGGTTGGGGGGGTGGGCGCCGGGCTTCGGCGGTCTTAAAGGGGCCGCGTCCTCTGTCCCTGCAGCCCTTCCCTCCCACGTGCTCGGCGGGGAGGATCCACCGGCTGCTTGGAGCTGGGCGGGGGGATCCCCGCCTGGTGCGTCCTGCACCATCGTGGTGCAAACGGGGCACCATTGCAGCCCGAGCCGTGCGCTGCCAGGGGGGCAGTGCCCGGGGCACGGTGTCACGCGTCTGCGTCGTGTCCTGGGCGTGCAGCCTGAGCACTGTGCTGGTGCCCCCATCACATGGGTGTGAGTGCCACATGTCCGCCTGTCTTGTGAGCACGAGGCGGCTGTGTGGGGGTGCCCTAAGGTGCTGCCGGGTACCAGCGTCGCGCCCGTGCCCGCGTCGTGGGCATGGGGCGTTGTAGCCCGAGCCGTGCACGCCCAGCCCCGTGGTAGTGCCTTGTGCCACGTGCTGTGGTGCCTGCGGGGTACTAGTGTTGCGCACCCGCCTGTGTTGTGGGCGTGGGGCGTTGGTGCAGCCTGAGTCGTGCACTTCTAGCTGCATGGTAGTGCCTCACGTCCTGCCCTGTGGTGCTGCCAGGTACCAGTGTCGCACACCTGCCTGTGTCCTGTGCCAAGCCCCGTGGTAGTACCCTGCTGAGCACACTAGGCTGCCATGTGCCAGGCACCGTTGTACTGCACCGCGCTCCCCACTGGTGCATGCTACCAGGGCACCCCTGTAACAGGCCACATCACCTGCCGCTGCCAGGGCACCAATGTCACGCACATGTCCAGGATGCAGGGGGAGTCTGGTTTGCTTGTCAATCAAAGGCACGGTGCTGCTTCCCAGCGCAGGGTCTCCTCCGTATTCAGAGAACAGGCAGTTTTCCCCGCCAGCCTTACCTGGAGGAAGCGCTTCTGTGGGCTGCAGCAAAGATCAGTCTGACCAGCCAGTCAGCCCTTGGCCAGTGCCGAGCATGCCAGGCAGGGAGCCAGCTGCGAGGGGATGGTGCAATGCTAATGCTTCGTTGTCTTCAGCCCGGCAGAGTTGCTGGCAGCACGAACCCGTGACCGCAAGGTTCCTCAGCGCTCGCATGGCCAGAAGGACTTCGTTCCCGACGGCTCAGAAGGGCAGGCAGAGCGGCTGCGCCAATGCCGGGAGGAGCACTGGCAGCTCCTGGCCGAGGAGCGTGTGGAGCGGCTGTAAGTTTCTCTTGCTGGTTTTAGTAGCTCCGTGCTCCCGCTGACCCTCCTGGTGATGAGAAGGGCAGAGCACATCTGGGGACACCTGGGTTGGAGACTGACAGCCCTGAGGGGCTCATCGTGGTGTGAATTCCCCTCCCCAGATCTCTTATAGATCTTAATGTGGAGACACGTGGACTTTACTACCTTGGAGTTATGACTGTCTTCATGTTTTACAGATGGGGAAATTGAGGCACAGGGGGTGGCAGCTTGCGTGTCCCCAGAGCAAACCCATGGCAGAATCTATGAGTCCTGCCTCCAAGGCTTTGTCTATACTTAGCTTTCTCTGCTGCTGCAAATTCCGACACCGACTGCCACTGCAAAGCTGCTAGCATGCATGCCTACCCATGCACTTCTGGCAGCTCCCTGTGGACCAGCTGCGTTGTTGCCAGAGGTCAGAGTTCACCCTGGGGCACTGATGAAGGGGCCACAGTAGGCAGCATAGGGCACAGAAATGTCTGCACAGACCTTCTGCCAGCAGGTGGGTGGCAGCAGAAGTCTTCTTCACAACCCGCCGAGGTGTAGCAGCTTTAAGCCCAGTTTATGGAAATGGGAGTTTCCTCCCTTGCTTGTTCCAAGGGCCTTATGGCTAAGGGCAAGCAAAACTCGGCGGCATCCGAATCCCAAGCCCCTGGGCTTGGGCCTGCAAGTAGGATGCCGACCAAAGGGTTTGGAAACATCTGAAACCCCAGGTGTGAGTGAAGGATGTTTGCCGGTAGTAGGGCCACACATGGTTCTGGACTCTTGGATTTGGAAGTAGTTTTGGCTAATTTGGCCTTGGATACTAATTTTAAAAAAAAGAAGTCTTCCCTCAGCAGACATGACTGAGTCTGGCAGTGAAAGGGAGCGTTCTGCTGCAGAGAAGTTGTGGGTGTGGATGCACTACCCATTTATCCAGCAGAACTTTTTCGTGTACCCTAGGCTCCGTGTCATTTGCCTCAACCAGTAACAGGCATTTCCATCTGGGTCTGCCCTCTGGCTAAGTTGTCCACTGTTCCCTTTGCACAATTCATTGCACAGTTGCAAAGTGCCCCTGATAAATGCATGTGCTTTACTTTGTATGTTACAGAAGCATTGTGGGGGATAGCAACAAGAGCTGCAGGACATTTCTATATGTTACACTAGTGGGGGACAGTCCTTTTGGCAGGTGTGCCACAAATTAGCCCCACACCCTCTCCATGTGCTACCCTGATCTCCTTCCCCTACCCAATCTGCTGCTCTGCTTTCTGCTCCCAGCCCTCTGCTCCCTGCTTCATTTGCTGCTTTCCGCTTCCTTCCCTGTGCTCCCGGCCCAATTTGTTGCTCTGCTTTCTGCTCCCTTCCCTATCTGCTGCTGTGCCGCTCGTTGCTCCCCCAATCCACCACGTAATGCTTATAGAGGCTGCCTGTGCCATTTGTGGTACCCATGCAGCAGGTTGGCCACCCTTGTGTTACACCATGAGTCCAGTTGGGTATCTTTTCTTCAGCAGGCTCTCTTACAATCAGAGAGCAGTATGGGGAGTTTGCAGCCTCCTACACAGCTGCCTTCCCATCCCTTGCTAGGGAGCAGGGTGTTCCAAACTGTTATATTAGGAATGATGTCTGTTGTGCTATTATGTCTTAACCTTCTCAGGGGAAGTTTGGTAAAAGCTGAATGGAAGCCAAATGAAGGCCTTGTGGAACTGAAATCCCCGGCAGTAAGTAATGTCATTGCAATTGGTTGATGCTGTTTTCTTCTACTGACAACAGCAGCCTGTGTTTTTTCTCTCTCTCTCTTCTTTTAAATTTCCTTCTCAATATGGGAAGGAGCCTGGGTGGGGAAAAGAGGTAGCTAAAACACGTCATGGATTTGTCTTTCTGTTTGCAGGGGAAGTTCTGGCACACGATGGGGTTCACAGAGCATGGCAAACAGTGCCTGCTACCAGAGGAAGCCCTCTATCTACTGGAGTGTGTGAGTAGGATGCCCAGGCATGGGACCAGTGAGCTCTTTCTGAATAACACTGTTGCAGAAGTGATAGTAGCTGGGCAGTGAAATGGATCCTTTATCTTCCCCACTGGCTCCAAAGCCTCTTCTCATCTAGCAGACTGTGTGAGCCAGTTTCTATTCTGCCTGTTACACATCTAAGTGGTATGTAAGTATTTAAGTACACTACTATTCCACCGTGCTTGAGTCACTTAACAAATTTTATTTTAATTCATCTTAACTTTAATTATGCCAAGACACCAAAGTGAACAAAAAGAAGGACGAGGTCTCCTCCACCCTTTGTGCTAAACTTTCTTCAGAGGCTCAAGTAGGGCAGAGTAGGATTCTGTTCAGATACCATTTGCATGGCTGCTTGGTGGAATAAGATCGGGCCCTATGCACTTTGGGACCTCGTCTGAAACCCTCTGTGTGTCTGTTGGTCATTTCCACTCTCTTATCAACCGATCTTTTGAGAGAGGTTCAGTTCCAGAGACACCATCTCTCTGTGTGTGGAGAAAGGTAATTAGCAGTGTTAGTGTGAAAGCAGGCAGAAGGCAGGGCATGGTGGCACCTTAGAAACTAACTAGTTGTATGTCAGTGGTGACACAGAGCACACTGGCTTTAGATCACTGGTTCAAAGAAGGGCTGTGGTCCTAGTGCTTTCCAGCTGTTCCCTTCTTTTCAGTGCCCAGTGAAACATGTCTGTCATCACTACGGGTCTCACTCTTGCTTCCGGCAAGTACAGGATAACTGCGTGGTGATCCCAGTTAAGGCAGGGTTGGCTTTCTGTGATTTATGAGTGTAGGTCTTGCCACTGAAAAGTGATTTCAGCTTAATAGTGATCCAAGTCTAAAGGCCAACTTGTTTTGTCTTAGCAAACTTTGCTGGATTCGAGGTAGGAGACTGTCATTTGAACCTTGAATCCAGGGGCTTTTCTCTGCCAATGGAGGTTTGCCAGGCATCAGGTCATAAGTGGCTTGACTTGAAAACAGATTTTGGCACAGAATCACAAGGGTAAGAGAATGAAAGCCTGGAAGAAAAGATTAGAAGCTTGGCTTGAAACCAGCTGCTGAGCAGGCCCCAGCATTAGAGAGGGACTGAACATGAGGGAAGCTGAGTGCCCATCACTAGCCCAGAAGTTGGGGGGGGAGGGGGATTGTTATAGGTGCTCAGCATTGAAGAAGTTTGACCATGTAGCAAAGCGCAGAGGCAGGTGGGAAAGCTGAGCCCGGTCAGTTTTGCTGCCATTCTGAGCGCTTCTGTCACACCCAAGGCAGGGAGGTGGCATTGCCACACTCTGTGAAACAAACAGATATAAAAAATGTGAAGCACAGAAGTTATGTTCCGTTATTGTGAGAGGCCCCAGGATGAGGTTTCTGAGTCATACACCCGCAGGGTGCTAGGATCAGCTGTTGAGACCAGAAGGAGAGACTAGGTGTGAATCTGTAGAACTGGTTTCCTGCAGTTCCTAATCCCCAGGCTTTTGTTTTCCAGGGCTCTATTCAGCTCTTTTACAGAGACCTGCCCTTGTCCATTCAGGAAGCCTATGAGACCCTGCTGTCCCAGAGTACTGTGAGCCTGCTGCAGTATCAGGTGCGCCGCATGGATCTGACTCCACCTGTGACTGGTGTGAGGGGAAGGGTGGGAGGGGAGGATCATAGCCAACACCTGCACACAGCTCCCATACACCCGCTTTCAAATGCAGGGGCTCCTATCTTCTCTTTTATTGTCCCCTTGCTCTCATTCTTTCCCTTGGGTCTTTCCTGTGATCATACAGTGCTTTACTCTGTGCACAGAGAAGCAGAAGCTAGTCTTCATTAACAGGATCATGGTTGCATCTGTGCTGTGCTTCTCCTGCCGAAGAGGTGTGAGATGGAGATACAGTCACTGGGAAACAGTGTGCTACAGGCATAAAAGGCAAAGCAAGGCAAAAGGCAGCAGCAGAAGCAAAGAAGGAACCATGCAGCGCCCCAGAGAGCAGCAGAATGGAAGTGACAAGACTGGCATCTGTTTTTGCTTCTGCTGCTGGTTCCTTCCTATTGCTGGGCCCAGTAGGTGCAGTGGCAACACCGAAGTTCTCTTGTCATTTCTGAAACATGGGGTGTCAGAGGCAAACCCATGACTTCCATGCTCCCCCACTAGCTTTTTTCTTCCTGAGCACTAAAGTTTGCAGTAGAGACAACCTGTATAAATCCCCTTCCCTTCCCTTTGCAGGCTCAGGTGTGGTGAACTTTCCACCACCCTGTCACCAGGGGGCAAGAGGCATTTCGTGGGCATTCGTGCCAGTCTGTTTCTGCATGGGGATGAGCACTTAGTGAGACCTACAGGCTCAGCATTAGCTAGGCCATGCAGTCCAACACAGGCTTTTTAAAATGGTCTTTTTCAAACCAAGCAGTGTTGCAGCCATATTCTTTGTTCCTGAATGCAGTGGAGACTGGCAAACCATGGACCGGAAGTGACCGTGGACCAGCATACTGCGGACCAGCAGCCAGCCTTTTTTTATACTGCGGACTGGTTGGTTGCCAGTCTGCAGTATGCCGGTCACTTCCAGACTTCTGGTCTGGCAGCCAACCCTCCTATGGGCTGGCAGCCAACCCTTCATGGCGCAGTACCGAACCGTGGCCTGGGGGTTGGGAACCTCTGCCTTAATGAACTGGCTGTTGTTTTAACATTCCTGCTCTCCTTTGAAGGTGTTCAGCCACTTGAAGAGACTAGGTTACATTGTGCTGCGATTCCACCCCAGGTAACCAGTTTGTTCTTTCCATTATGCTGTTCCCCTGCTTTCTTTCAGCAGGTCCCTATTTTGGCCTTTGCTACTCATTTGCTCCATGACCTTGGACAAGTCACTTCATCTCTCTGGGAATCCTTGATCTTTGTCTTGTCTGGTAGGACATTACTGGTTGAGGGCATGGGCTCCCTCTTAACTTTGTGCATGCAGTGCCTAGCCAAGGGGGCCCTGATCTCAGTTGGGATCTCTAAGCACAAGTAATTGTAGCAGCAATGATATTATGAGACAGCATTTACTAGGACCCGCAGTACTTGGATCATGAGGTCCTTGGGAACTTGTTTTGTTGTGTTCATGCAGCGTGGGGCACAGTGGGGTCCTGGTCCATGACCAGGGCTCTAGTCTTACTGCAATACAAACAACAGTAGTAATGAAGATCTGCCTGCACTCTCCCCTGCCAGACTCAATCAAGGTCCTTCAACTTCAACCCTTTCCCCCTTAGCCCTAAATCCTTCTAAGCTTTTCCCTGTTTGAGCCTCCAGACCCTCTGGGCCAGCAGGATAGAGGGATGTGCAAGTAAAGTGGACTCTAAAGGTGCCTTGCATTCTAGCCCTGGGGGGTTACTAGCCAGAAATAACACTGCAAACTCTTCTACTGTTCAACTCCTATCATGACTGATGTGAAGTGGGTGCATGAATTAAAGGGAGAGGGCAAGCAACTGCAAGCAAAAGGCTGCTGATTTTGCCCTGCTCTTGCCTACTGTTTCCAGGCCCAGGAAGAGGTTTTGATTGCTTAGTTTTGCTGCATGGCTGAGCTGGAAGGGTTTTCTAACACCCCCCCACCCCGCTCTGTTTCTCTGCATGTCTCATTGCAGCGTGGTCCCATCCTGGTATGAGAGGCAGCTGAACCTTGACAGTCACTGCAAGAGCTCTGGGAAACACCATCGCAAGAGGAGGAGAAGCTCTAGCCCTCGGTAAGGGAGATGGCCCCCAGTGGCTTGCCTTACAGACAGACCATTTTTCACACTTCGGTCCATGCTAAACGTGTGTAGCCCATTGCCTCTAAGGGTGGGAAACAGGCATAGCCCCCAGCCTCTGCAAGGTGCTGAAAATCGGTCATCGAGCCAACCATCATGCATGGGGGAACAGCTGTCAGGTGTCCAGAGGGCCAGTCAGTTATCTGGAACAAAACTGAGTTCTGGATCAGTTCACAACCCATCATTTACAGTATAGTAACATCCATTCATCCTTTTTGCATTGCATGCTCTTTCTGTCTCTCACTCTCTTCCCCCTCACCATCCTATCTCTTCCCCCTCACCTTCCCCCTCACCATGTATCCCAGGCCCTGACTCATCTGGCTCCTACATAGCTGTATTGGGACAACATTCCCTGGTCCTTCCTCCCCAGGTGAAGCAGTGATGTGTCAGTTCTGCCCAAGCATTTCTGGGTTCTTAGCGAACCCTTTGCAAAAATTGTCCCTCACCACCTTGCACTCTTCACGGGGGGTAGATTATCCCTGAGCCCTGTGTGCTGATACTAACATAAAGGAAGATTTCTGCAATCCTTGAATGGAAAGAATCACTATATGAGAAGGAAATTGGTGCTGTGTCAGATGTGGTTAAGCTGTTCGTGACAAAGACTAGGTTTTCTGTTTTGTGCTTGTACAACTCCTAGCACAATAAGCCCTGGCCCATCTAAGAGGTCCCTGGGTGCTACCTGAGCACAAATAATAAAATACATTATTATTAATAATTAACAGAGCTTTTTAGCAGGTGGCAGCACTGTCTCAGAAATGGACGACAACAGACAGGTCAGCCCAGGGCACTAGGCCTGTGCGAAGTGGCTAGTATTCACTTCGGATTTGGATTTGGCTGATTCGGGGGACGGTGATTCGATTTGTTTATTTGAATCACTGTCCCGAATTGATTCGGTTGAATCTCTGAATCAGCCAGGCCAGGCCCATCTCCCACAGCCCAGCAATGGCTGCTCTGCCCACCCCAAATCCCAGCACTTGTTAAAAAAAAAAAAAAAAAAGCCCCAGTTCAGCAGGTGC